GATACTTATTATTAATATTGGTACATTATTTTTATTTTGGTACGTTTTATTTTGTACACATTGTGTATTGGTACGTTTATATTATTCACAATCATATTTTCTCTTAACGTACTAAAAGAAAAACTTATTTCGGTACGTTTGATTTTGGGGGATTTAAAAATATTTTAAACTAGTTTGGAAAGAAAATATCTTAAATCGTAGATAATTATTGCTAAATTGTAGCATTATTGTGAAAATAAATTGAATCTAACCATTTTTTTTTCTTACAATTATCTCTAACGGAGGAGAATGTAATCAAAAGGCTAGATTATAGGAAATTTGTTACAATATAATGTGCATATAGCACCAAACTTATGACAAAAAAAAAAAAGCTTAATCAAATCACTAAAAAACATAGATGTTTGATTTAGAAAATTCAAAACTGAAGTGCCTATATCAAAAGATCTCAATTAGGAATTACTCTACAAAGATTAATATGATATAGCAAAGTTGTGTCTTTCTTGTACAGTATGACTTTAAATTATTTTTGAGACATACAACGTCATAGAGTTTCAAATTGATTTCCAACTTCCTCATATCTTTTAGCAGCCAGCCACGTAGCATTAGCCCTTCATCACCATTTTATTTTAAACTAGATCATTTCCATAAAGATATCTTGTAGGATCTTCAAAGGCTGATGAGACTTGTCAACGTTTTAAATTTGGATAAGACTGGATTTTTCTTGATATAGGAAGTATCTACGTGGAGCGGCAACGTATTTTTGAGCGATTAAATGGTACATTAAAATGGAGTTGTGACTCTAAATTTGTGTGAGTTTAAACTTGAATTGAGAACTACAAACATTTGCTCGTTCACCACTAGACTAAGCATTTGAGGTTAGTATATAAACTAGCAAAAAACAAATCATTTAAGGGAGCCCCAAAATTTAATAGGCTTTATTTAGAATCAAATCACACATTCAATTGTTGAATTTAAAGTTTTTGTGGGCGAAACTTACGTGTGAAATAGCCCCAAAAATTGATAGCCTTGGTCGATCTCATTGTCTCATTAAGCTAGTATGCAGCTCTTGATGCATATGTGGTGCCAAGATAGTGAAATTCCGACCATTTAACATGCTTATCATAAATGGTACGTGTAAGTTTGCATAAGAAGTCCCGCTCACCAAAGGATCAACGAGGGATTGCGAAAACACCTTAATAAAAGCCCTTGGATTAATTTGATTGCTAAATAATTATTAACTTAACCACAAGAAAAAGATGGTGAGCATCACCATCACTATCTTAGAGGGTGGTGAGCAAAAATATTCACATAGAAAAATGAATGAAACATGCTTAATGTCCATACAAAGTGCATTGTAAAGTGAGAAATTAATAACTAGTGTTACCTTATGAGTTACCTAATTTACTCAAAACTACTAAAAGGAACCAGCTGGTGGCTTCGCCACAGCAATCCACCTTCGAGAACCGGAAAGGCTCACAGAGGCATTTCAACCTTTTTTTGGGCACTATGGTGTGATTCACCTAAAAGGGACCAGCTAGTAGCTTCGTCATGACAGTCCAACCTTTCAGGGGACCAGGAAGATTCACAGAGGCATTTCAATCTTCCCCTGACCACCATCGTGTGATTCACAAACATCATAAATCAAATCCAAAACATACCATATAAAATACAAGTCTGAATTCCCTCATTAACATTCGGACCACCCCGCGGTCGCTATGTATGTTTGTCTCTAAGTTAATAAAACGATAACTACTAAAAACCGTCAAATACTACTGCAAGGTGTGTCATATTTTAGAATCGAGCTTGGTATTTCGTAATTGACTAAAATTTGACTGCCTTATCAAGTAATGTGTGGCAACGTGCTAAACATATTTGGCTTTAAGATGTAAGCATACTTGAACTTTCAACTTTTTGGATTTAGTTGCACACATAACTCCCCCAGTCCCTTTCTTCAAGTTTCAAAGTTTATAACTTTATCTTTATGGGCGCCACGGGTGGCGATTTTGTTCCACTTTCTTACGTAGGTGCATGTCTATTACACTTTGAGAAATGAGAGATTACGTGATTAAATAAATGATTAAGCTTATTTTTTACGTCAAACTATACGGTTTTGTTACTATTTTAAGATCAGCTACGTTGCAAAATTACCCATCTGTTGGCATTGAAAGTAATGTGATAGAGAAATGAACACATGGAGTTCGTATATACATGATTCACCTTCATATATATATATATATATATATATAGGGTAGTCGATCATAGAAAGTTAGTCACCCATGGTTTATCTATTGACTCTTCTATTTAGGTTAGCAAAAGTGCGCAGATAGAATCGATTATAAATTTAATTTATACTATTATTAAAAGAACCCTCATTGTCAACTTTTTGTTATTTTTTTTCTATTTTGCCCTCATTTTTTATGCATACTATACTATTGACAAAAGGAAGGCAAAATAGTAATTTTGTACCTTTTGACAAAATGACAACCATATCCCTATGTTTCCTATTTTACCCTCTTTTTATACTTATTTTTCCAATTTTACTCTCACTTTTGATACACAATATTTGCATAAGGAGGAAAAAACAGTAATTATGTAATATTAAAAAAAATATGCACTTGTTAAGATAAATTGTTCAAACACATAAGGTGTGTGCTCTCTGCTAGTAAATACTAATAAAATTCATTTTACACTGAAATATTGTTCATAACCACAATGTTTTTTCAAATTTGTCCTCGCTTATTTTTTTTTATTTCATTTATGCCACTGACGAAGATACCCTTTTGAGTGCTTGCTCCGTTTACCAACTCCACTCGCTTCCGCGTTCATGCATGCTTTGTTCTCGAACTCTCTCTCTCTCAACTACGCAGTGGAACCCCCACATTTCCCCTTTACCTCTCTGCAAAAAACCCTAGACCTCGCCACTGTTGGAGACTCAGAGCTCGACCTTTGAGTGTCAATCCGCCTCGCCATCTTCTTCTCTCTGCACCTCATCCAAAAACCCTCTAGTTTTTTTTTTTTTTTTTTATAACTAAAATGGACCTAGATGAACACTAAAGAGATAATATATGTACGACTACTTATTGTTTGTATCTAGTTTTTCATTAAAAGTTTGCAAATAGTTTTGTTTGTGTATATTTTTGTTGACAAAGTTTGTGGGACATATCTCTAACTTCCACAAAGATAAGTTGTAGCCAATGAAATTTTAATCCAAATTCATATAAGGGTCTTGGTGTGATGAAAATAATTTCACAAAAACCGTTTTCAATCATTTTAAAAGCACTTTTCAATGAACAGGGCAATGACATTAACTATGTTCTAAGTAAATAGGTTCCACCAGCTGCTTTGTATTGACTTAATACATGCAATAATTACGGAAAATTTTCAGAGTAAATAAATATATTCTCACAGTTATTATGCATTGTGATTAAGATTAATCATTAGAAATTTTGGTACCCTTCGAGAATAAATGTACGGAAACAGATGATGATATGACTTTCATGATAAAGCTTGTAAGAAAATCAAGCAAGCATTTGCTTTGCCGCATTTTGCTCTATCTAAGTCATTATCTCAGTCTAAATATTTAAAACTTAGGTACAATCAAACTTCAAAATCAAGCAAGGACACGATGCCGTTTCAAGTTGGAGAGGGGTATTGTGGCATGAGACTTGATCTCAAGGATGAGCATCTTTAGAGAAATTTTCCGAAGATAATCCGACTGGAGATCAGGAAGTACTAAAAAACGACATCTTTCGCTATTTATTATCTATCTTGCAAAAGAACGGACAGTTGGATGAAGACCTCAATCATAAAATACAAGCTAGATGGATGAAGTGGAAGAGTGCATCTAGCGTGTTGTGTGACCGTCGTATGCCACTGAAGCTTAAGGGAAAATTTTATAGGACGGCAATAAGGTCAGCAATGTTGTATGGCACGGAATGTTGGGCGATGAAGCATCAACATGTACATAAAATGAGTGTAGCAGCGATGAAAATGCTTCGATGGATGTGTGGGCACATGAGAAATGATAAGATTAGGAATGAGGATATCCGAGGTAAAGTAGGAGTAGCCGAAATTGAAGGAAAGATAAGAGAAAATCGGTTACGGTGGTTTGGACATATGAAACGAAAGCCTACTGACGCTCTGGTTAGAAGATGCGATTACGGGATAGAGGTTCAAGGCCGAAGGGGTAGAGGAAGACCTAGGAAGACTTTGGAAGAGACTCTAAGAAAAGACTTAGAGTACTTGGACCTAACGGAAGATGTGACACAGAATCGAGCGCAATGGTGTTCTAGGATTCATATAGCCTGCGCAATGGCGTTCTAGGATTCATATAGCTGACCCCATTTAGTGGGAAAAAGCTTTGTTGTTGTTGTTGAATCCGATTGGAAAAAGAGATCCAAACAACTTAGGTTACAATTCATCCCAGCATCCAGCATACACATAAAAAGTTGAAAAAATAAACAGATGTGTAAGAAATTACACATGAAAAATTAGAACCCCAGAGTAATGGAAGTACCTGACTTGAGGCTGCAGCATATAGTTTCTCCTCAAACCTTGCAGCAATGTCCTCGACCTCAAGTATGGAAGGTGCCTCTTTAACATTTCAGTTCTTTATATGAAACATAATCAATAAGTTTTTTACCATGATTAAAGCATTGAGGTAAAGTTTCTTAACAAAATAAACGCAACATTCAATTAAATAGTAAAAATATCGGGAAATATGCAGAAATAAAACTTGTTAGTGCATTTCTAACAAATAACAGAATTGCAAGCACTAAATAGACAATAAACAATATATAACACGATTAAGAACCCATTTTATTGTATTTTCAATGTTTCTCTTTTTTTTTTTTTAATTAAAATTTTTGTAACTGATTTTGTTTCTTGTACACATACAACCAAAACTTATTTCATTAAGTTGGGTTGGCTATAAAAATCCTAGAATACTAATGCGCTCGGTTTTGCTCCATGTCTACGGTTAGTTCCAAGTACTCCATATCTTTCGTTAAAGTCTCCTTCATCCTATTTCTCATATTTTTCAAAAAATGTAAAAGAGAATATTACATTGGTAAATTTTTCTTCATTCACTGAGGTCCATGATTTCTAGATTTTCATTCTACTTCAAACTATACTTGCATCTTGTAGACAATTCTGCGTCGTGAATCTAGCTGCAATTGGGTCCTCCAATCACCAGCGCCCGTTGAAGGTTCTCCCCCTAGAGGAGCTCTCTCATCATTGGTATCCATCAAAACTGACCAATCATCATGAAACAAAACAAATTTGAATTGAAAAAACAAAATCTAAGAAGACCCAGAATCTGAAATTATGAGTTGCTAGCTATGAAAATAACAAGTCAACCTGAGAACTGGATGACCGTTTTATTGAATTGGGTAAGAGAAAATAATCCAATAAATATATAAACTTAAACAAAGTTTGGTGAAGTTACCTTGATCAGGAGATGCGTGATAGAGATTACTTGAGGAAAGGGTTCCAGTGCAGATCCTAAGGAGAGAGGTATACGAAGACCCGATGGAACAAGAGGTTGACTTAAACTGTTTTTTTATTAGGTCCGTGACTGAAATTCGTAAACAACTGTGCTACCTCTTTTTGTAATCACATAACCGTCCTTTATTTTGTTTCGATGTTACTAATATGCCACGGATTATAAGATGAATTATAAATTTGTAACTGGTATTGTTTTTGATATTTTAAAACTTGGATGACAGAAATAATTCAGAAAATTATGGAACTGATAGATAAACTTTACATACAACTGACGAGAATGCTCTCATAAAATTGGCAACGTCTACATTCCACGAATAATTCAACCACCAATAGCTGCTGCCCAGATTTCTCCAACTGCCTCTGCTCATGGAAAGGGAGATACGGCAAGAGAACTAAAAGTGAAATTAGTAACTAATTATTATCTTTAAATTTTCCTTATTGAAGATAAGTTCCCTTAAACGAGGAAGTATAATCGCATCCAACCGAGGATTCTTTAAATATAATTCTTTAAATAATATTATTAATTTAATGGTATCTGTAAGCATTATTCTCAAGCATCTTCAAGATGGATTAATCTAAAGGCAACCAAATTTTCGTCTGCAAAACTCTTGCGCCATGCGAGAAAAAGAACATGATATGACAGTTTGTTGGCTTACTAGATTCGACTTGACCTATATCCGCCTATGCTAAAAATCACTGAACTTCTAAACCTCTACACTGAATAGTCCATCCACATGCTCAATTTACACTACACAATCACATCATTAAGTTATTATACATTGTAAATAAGATTAATCATTAGAAATTTTGGTAGTCTCGAAGAATAAATGTCCTATAAATGTTGGGAAACAGATGATGATCCCAAACTCTGGGAGTATATGACTTTGATAAAGCTTGTTAGAGAAATAACAAGAATACTAATTTACCGCGTGATAATGACTTAGTGGATGAGTGATTTATTTTTTAAACATGTAGCAAATATTTTTTTTAAACTATGTCTTGTGGCAAAAGAGAATTTCAAAAGGCCTTGGGTTGAGATCGCAAAATTCTAAACCTTGCTGATAGACACATCAAAATTTTGCACCAGAATTTGTGTATTAAATGATGTGTCACCAATCAAATTTGTATTAAATTTTTGTACTTTCATTCAGGTTGAAATTTAATTAAAAATTATAATAAAAATTTATATGGTGTAGAATATGCCACACCAGTTCGTGCACAAATCTAAAGCATGAATTTGGTGTATGTAACACCGGAAAGGGATCCTCTCCGGATCCCTTCAACCTAATCCTCTTCATCAAATAATCCGGACCCTTGAAATTTGATCAAACGGCTAAAAACACAGGCCCACTTTAAAAGTTATAATAACTTTAGCCGTTGGATCAAATTTCAAGGATCCGGATTGTTTGATGAGGAGTATTACCTATAACACCACCCATAAATAAGGTATCTCCTATGAGCTGACGTTCATTCTTGCATGTTTGATGGTCTCCTTATAAATTGACACTTATCTCTCTCTTTCTCTCCCTCTCTCATGAGCGCAACTCTTTCCACATTTTTTTGAACAAAAAAGAAACTTCTTTCCGCATTTTTTTGGATCAAATTTCTAGGTTTGATTGATCGTTAATTTTTGGTCTCCATTCTCTTTAGATTGGGCCATGCATATCTGGTCAGAATTGATGTATTCCGATAACGTGACGCCTCGGCCTCCTCAAGGTGGAGGCGAACCCTCAACCGACACAGACGATGGAGAACCCACAATAGACGACGACTTGATTTCTCAACTTGAAAAACTCTCGATGGACAGTGGCGACTGGAGGAGTCAATCTCTTCCAAATTCACGACAAGAGATTACCTACAAGATGTGAGTATGTTTAAGAAAGAAAGAAAAATAAAACCCTAGGAATCATAGATTCATGCTTTTCTCTTGCAGTAGCTTTTAATTTATAGATGATTTTGTACTTGTTATCATGTTTGTTATAAAAGGGCAATCATAACATTAAGCATGCAAGAACGCAAAGGGTTTGTAGCTTAAGCGGTTAAGAGCCTTTACCACAGCACCCGAGCCCTAGGTTTGATTCCCCTTTACAGCGCTGAGTTCAATTATATAGGCATAAATTAAAAGTACAGTTTCAGACGTATGATCGCTAGAAGATGATATTCGTTTACTTACACAAAAATCTGTGTGCATACCTTTAGGCGGGTTTGACACGTCCCGATCCCGATGTCCCAGACATCGGGATGGCCACGTACTAGTTGACATCTGAGGGTGACGCAAGCCATTTAATGAATGAGAATGCCGAGAACATGTGAAATAATGCATGACATGTTCAGCACACAAAGAAGGTTCACCCATGTGACTACGTGGGCTAAGAATCCCATACATCCTTTTTTGGACATCGGGATTGGGGCGTGTCAGGGTTTATACAGAAATGATTGGATTTGTTCATTATGAATTCGCTTATGTACTTGTTAATTCCATGCTTTAATGATAGTCAATAATTTTTGTTAAATGTGTTACATGTAAAGATTTGATACATTGAAGAGTCATCCTTCTGTATCTGGTCACGAGGAATTGCAAGAACTCTTGAAAATGGCCGTGACGTTTGAGGAAAATATTTATACTTCTTCCACAAGCCAGGTATTTATCTATGACAAATGTTATTACATACATAACTTACTAGTTTGTGTTTCAACTCTGTTTGCTATATGAATAGCAATGCATTATTTCTCTTCATAGTGGGAGTATCTACAAAAAGTTTCTCTAAGGATGCTTAAAGTGGATACCATGATTCAGAACACAGTGGATAATTCATTACAACCAACTCCTGCGGGTAATAGAAACTTCTGCAACATGCTTTTTGACATGGAGAGAAAATGAATTTGAATTTTAAAAATGTTGTTCTTCTTAATGATCAACTACCTGAAAGAGATTGATTTTTAATATCTACACCGGCAGTTAATTTTTTTTTTTATGATTAAATAGGTGTGAAATTCTAGGATCAATTTTAGTTTATATGGTTTGTGCAAGAGGCTGAACTAGTGTTCAATTATCGAATGAGGGAAATAAAAGAAAACATTTCATGTTTTTGCAGAGGTTTTTATTCTGCTTGAGCAATGTTCGGAAGGTAAAGCTTTCCTCCATTACTACCCTTATCAGACAAATTTGTATGATTGTATAAAATATTTTTGCATAACTTGTACCAATCCTAGATTCCCCAGCCCAAGCAAGACTTGCAAATGAGGGTGATTGGCAAGAAGAGGTCTATCAAAAGGTAAGCCACTTTGCCATGCGGACTAAATGGCTAGGGTTAGAAACAAATTAATAGAAGACATGAGATAGTAAGAAACAAACTATACTATGGTCTTTGGAAACGTGTATTTGTTTCTAATCATCTTTGGCATTCTGAATTTGATATGAAGATCAAAGCCATGAAGGAGATGTACTTACCTGAGCTAAGTGAAATGTATTGGAAGATTGCTACTAAACTTCAACCGGTGTGTAACCACTTAATTTTTTTTTTCCCCTCATAATTTGTTGCTTTACTTTTACAAATTAAGCATTCTTTCCGTTCAAGGTTGTCGTGGGGATGGTTCACGCTAGATCCCTTGTAATGACGGATTGCCGTTTTAATTTCTTCTTATATTGCTTTTCTTTTGCTTACTTATGCCTCTTCTTCTTTCTGTTTTCCAGCACGATTCTCTTCCACAACAACCAAAGTCAGAGCGGCTTGAGAAGCTAAAAATGTTCAAAAACATATTGGAGCGCCTCATATCAGTTTTACATATTACCAAGAGTAGCATTTCACCTGGTTTGAAAGACAAGTTGGGTTCATACGAGAATCAGATAATAAATTTTATTGATACAAATACACCGAGGAAGCAAGGTCCTCCTCTGCAACAAGGGCAGCTCTCGCGACCTCGTATGCACTCCATGCAGCATGTTTACTAAATGTCGTTGCCCATGGATGCATTATCTTCAAAACAGTGCATGCATGGTCCTTTGGCTCATGAAGCTTCTGTTCTTAGATTGCTTATGATGTCTGGACATATATATGTGTGTGTGTGTGTGTGTGTATATTTATAATATTATTTTGTGTTACGAGAAATACATTTTCAACTGTTTTGGGAAGGATAGTTTTCCAATTTTTTTTTCTCAATGTTCTGTATGCAATGCTTAGTTTTTTCGTCTCTTGTTCAAATTTCTTTTTAGGTGCAAACATTGACACATCTCTCTGTATAATTTGTGGCTTCCCTAGATTGCCGAGACCAGACCGGACATGCAAACGGGAGTGCTTCGAAAGAGGAGGTCTATCAAAAAGTAAGATGTACTAACTTCTTGTCCATTCGATGGCTTTCACTTACGGTCAGAAATGCACAACACTCTTTTCACATCCCAGAAATCTCTCCCCTTCTCGCCTGCGAAGGTTTCCAGCACCACCGACAAGGAGTTCGACGGTCAAATTGGGCTCTTTCTCAGACTGCCGTTATCCCACCCCCATCCCCTCCTCCTTCCTCCCTCTCCCACCGCCAACACCCATCCCCTTCTCCTCCTTCTTCCACCGCCTGCACCCTTTCCCCTCTGGTCATCCCACACCATCCCCTCCTTCATCTTCCATCCCCTGCACCTTGCCCCTTTGGTATCATGGCCGCCGGATTGAATTTAATGGCCAGGATTAATGGATCCATCGGCTCTCGAGTCAAAGCTCCAGAGATAATCTCAGCCCTTCACATACAACAATTTAATATAAAAATACAAATTATTAGGCGTGGGGGTGGGGATAGAGCTACAACAACAACAACCAGTCTTATCTCACGTTGCATGGGTTGTATAATCTTAGAATACCAATGCGCTCTGTTTTGCGTCAAATCTTCCATTAGGTTCAAATACTTCATTTCCTTTCTTAAAGTCTCTTTCCAAGTTTTCCTAGGTTTTCCTCTACTCCCTTTGCCTTGAGCATTCGTCTCATAGTCACATCTGGAGCAACTGTAAGTCTTTAGTTCACGTATTCGAACCATTTCAACCAATTTAATGGCCGGATTGAAGAAAAACATACTAGCTAAGATTCCTTGTGGGGCTGCTTTGTCATGCTGTCTGAATTCATGGTTGCATGCATGGGGCTCTTTTCCGTTGGCATTGATGATGTGATGGTGTCGACAAGCATATAGCTGCAACAATGTTCTTTCTAATCATCTTCGTATTTATGACTTTCATTTGCAGATCAAAGTCATGAAGGAAATGTACTTAACCGAACTAAGTGAAATTTATCAGAAATATGCTACTCAACTTCAGCAGGTAAGTAATCAATTCAATATTTTCTTCTCTCATAATTTGTTGCTTGAACTTTTACCACAAGCGGGCTTTCCATGCTAGGTTATTGCGGTGGTGTTCTTTGATAGATGCCACCTGGATTTTCCTTTTAATTATTGTACCCATGTAGACTGTCTACATGGGAGTGTTACTTCACCACTAGTGCTGATAACATTTCGCAACGAAGTCTTGTTACTCCTTATATTGTCGTTCTTTATCTTACTGATGTCTGTTCTTTCTATTTGCCAGCCCGATTCTCTTCCACAACCACCAAAGCCGGAGCAGCTTGAGAAGCTAAAAATGTTCAAAACCATGTTGGAGCGCCTCATATCAGTCTTACAGATTTCCAAGAATAGGATTTTACCTGGTTTGAACGGCAAGTTGGGTTTATATGAGAAGCAGATGGTGAAATTTATTAATATAAATAGACCGAGGACGGAAGTTCCTCCTCTGCAACAAGAGCAGCTCCCCTCACCACATATGCACTACTCCATGCTGCAGCCTCAATCTCAAATTACTCAAGTGCAGTCTCATGAAAATCAAATGAACCCGCAGTCGCAAACAATGAATTTACAAGGTCCTGTGCCAACAATGAAGCAGAACAATAATATGACAAACTTGCAGGAAAATTCATTGTCTTCTATTTCTGGGGTTTCAAGTTCAACAGCACAGCAGAACATGATGAATCCATTGCAGCCGAGTACAAAGTTGGATCCAGGACAGGGAAATGCACTGAACGCTTTGCAGCAAGTTCTGTTGGGATCTATCCAGCAAACTCCTGTCAATGTTTCCCAACAAGTGAACATGAATGCCATGTCATCACCGAGTGGGTTTTGTAAGCTACAGTCAAATATTAACTCCCCTCAGTCAAATTCTGGTATGCTTCAACACCAGCAAATAGAACAGCAGAAACAGCAAAAGCTTCAGAATCAACTGAAGCAACAGTATCAACAGCAAATGCAGCACCAATTGATACAGAAGGTACTACGGCAGCAACAGCAGCAGTCACACTCTCATATTACTCGCATGCATCTTAAAAATCAAATGAACCAGCACCCTCTGACAACAATGTTGCAGAGCAACCTGGTGTCTGCGGGCTTAAAACGAGATAGGCAGGAAACACTTCAAGCACCATTTCAGGTATCAAAATCCATGCGTCCGTCACAATTTGCAATGGATCAGGCAATGCCGTTATCTCAATCTCAAAGATCCCTAAATGAGGCACTATCAAGTATGTTTCCACTTTTCCCTAACCTTTTCTTTTCAGTTATGCCATTTCCAACGCTGGCCTTTTTGTTCATTTCTTACATGCGCCTGTCTGACGTACGTATGGTTGTAGACCCTTTGGAAAGTAGTCCAACTTTGGAATGTTATCTTCTCCAAATGGGACTTTTGGTATTAAACTACACGGATCTGCATTCAAATTAGTTAGCAGAATGATTAGGTTGGTATCATGCCAATTTGGGAGCAAAATCTTATCTGAGCTGTCTTTCGTTTCTTTGGATTGTATAAAAAATGGCTCTTAATTCTTTTAGTTTTCTTCAGTTGGTTTGTAGATAAGGCATTCTCAGCGGAGCCCTATTATTAAGCTACTTCAAGCGTTTTGTTGTCGTTCACTTCAAGCGTTCTCGTCCCACTTTTGCTTGTGTAGCTTCTAGTTTGTTCTCAAATTTCTCATGTTATTTGGATAGATGTTTATATCTTTTATCTACCGTTTGGTCATATGATAGTTTTCCATGTTTCTTTATCTAATCTGCATCATATGCTTTTTTTTCATCTATAATGCTCAATATCAAGTTTCGTGCAATCTTGTATGCAAATATTGAAATTTGATGTGTATGTCTGTATATTTTATTTTGTAGCATCTCGAATTGCTCGATTGCATTCTGCAAATCAGTTGAACCCAGTGCAGTTGCAGTCAATGCAGTTTCAAGGTCCTATGGCCATGATGCAGCAAAGCGATATGACTAACTTGCAGAAGTTTTCAGTGTCTTCTTTGTTGGATAGTGGCCAAATTAGTGCCATGTTTTGTGGCTTTTTCAAAGCAATGTTTTGTGGCTTTTTCAAAGCCATGTTTTGTGGCTTTTTCAAAGCAATGTTTTGTGGCTTTCGGGTGGGAGAAGGCTTGGATTAAGAAAAGCATAAAATGGTGAGAGCATTTGGCAAAACTAGGGCACGGGATGTAGAGATGTAAAGCATCCAAAGAGATGGTGAGAGCATTTGGCTCTACCATGGGCACGGGTGAGAGAAATCAAGAGAGCTAGAGTGAAAGATCTCTTGTGAAAGAACTCTTGGGGTAGAGTGAGGCTCTTGGGAAAATTCTGTGAGTGGGTGTACAAGGGATATGGGATTGGGTTATGTTGATTTAACTCATGTGTAACTTGTACTGTTTTTCTCATAGTGAAGAGCAATATCTCTCCGAGGACGTAGGCATGTTTTTGCCGAACCTCGTAAATTTCTCTGTGTCTTTATTTCTTGTACTTTATTTTGTTCAACTGTGTGTGATTTTTGGTGAGGTTGTAATCTGAATCTCGGTTCCGCACTAACGAACGGGCCAGGGCACAACATTCTTTAGCTGGGCTGCAGTCAATGCAGTTTCAAGGTCCTCTGCCGACGATGCAACAAAACAATATGACTAGCCTGCAGAAAAATTCAGATTTAAAGCAATCGGGTATTCTTCATAATTGTTTTTAGCTACATGTTTAACTGTTTAGGGAAATATAGTTTTCCATTTTTATTTATCAAATGTTTCTAATTTGTGGCATCTCTAGATTCCACAGCGAAGACCGGAGATGCAACTGAGGGTGATGTGCCAGAGGAGGTCTATAAAAAGGTAAGATGTCCTTGTTTGATCTCCATTCAATCGTGGTTTTAAGCTAGCAACCATCGGTTGGGAAGTTAATGTAAAATCTTGCTTCATTATGTACACATGATTTCACCCATTCTGAATTCATGTGTGGTTGTATGCATGATCTCTTTTCTGTTGGCATTTTTTCATGAAATTTGAAGCATTAAAATGAAAAACTGTAATTGGATGCACGAGTGGCTATGCAGCTGCAACAATGTTCTTTCTAATCATCTTTGTATTGCGGATTTTCATTTGCAGATCGAAGTCATGACAGCAATGTACTTATCCGACCTACGTGAAATGTATCAGAAAATTGCTACCCAAATTCAGCAGGTATGTAATTACTTCATGTTAATCCCTCATAAAACTTGTTGCTCAACTATTACTTAAGTAACATTCCCTTCAAGCTTATAGATATGGTTTAGGATATATCCCTTAAACTGAATAAATGGTATTGTTAATCCACCAACAATGCCAGTAAAATTATCTTGCTACTTGTTATCCGTTATTCTTTCTCTTTGACAGCACGATTCTCTTCCGGAAAAACCAAACTCGGAGCAGACTGAGAAGCTGAAACTGTCGAAGACCATGTTGGAGCGTCTCATATCAGTCTTAGAGAGTTCCGAATGTAGTATGTCACCTGGTAAAGTTGTGTCCTCTTTTTCTGGGCTTTCAATAGCACAGCAGACCAATCCCAATTAAACTTTTCTATAGCGTGGTCTTGCGTATTATCCAAATGCCATGTATCATGTACGCAAGGCTGGGAAGTTGAGTCGTAGCTTCTGTTTGGATGGTTTGGAAGTTTTGTATGGATATACTGTGAGGTTTAAACTTGAGAGTTTTCTTAATTAATTATTCATCACAATTATATGCGTTATGTTATTTTCTTGATGCCCTATCCTTCGTAAAATCATAGTCTATGATTCATAGAGAGCTACAACTCCGGTATACTACCGTAGCATATTTCGGATGAATTATGTAATGTCATGTTGCAAAACTAAAACATATGGTGTCGCGTTATTCGATTAGATTGCTACGTTGGCGTATCAAGAGTGTAGGGTAATGTGCATTACCGCTCAATCAAAAACAAACCGCCACTGGTCAAGCGGCCCAATGACTCAAATGCCTTGTTGTAAGTTGCTTGCCATGTAGGTTTACATGGCAAGGTATACATGTTCTAATATTTAAACTTTTTCTATGGCTTGCGACCTAAAGTGAGAATTTGTCTTGGTCAAATTCTAGTTAAGTCTTTAGTTTGTTAGTTTTTGTTTTTTTTTTCTTGAGAACAAGTAAAGAGTTAAGGGAAGGATGAGAATTCAAAACCATTACAGTAATTTATGGAAGGGAGAGTCTCGAAAGCGGGACGCATGAATGAAAACTAACGCCCTATCCACTAAGATATTGGACCACATGCATTTTGTAAAAATTTTGATTCTTTTAACTTCACTTTTATGTAGGACTTAGGAATCTATTTTGAGCAAAAAGTGATCAATATGACTAGAAGATTAGTAAACTAGCAGATTCTCCATATTAGAGTAGGAGATTGTTTCCTAGTTTATGTTAAGGGATTTATCTAGACCTTTTGTAAAAAGGATTTGTATTAGTATATTTAATAAGATAGCCGGGCCTAGGAATTCTCTACGCGACTTTCCTCCAAAGCTTTGGGATTTTCAGGCTTTGGGATTTCGAATATGGCAAAGCGCTTCGATGACCCCAGTTCTCACCGTTGTCGGACAAGAAGGTAACTCACTTTCTCTCTCTGGGTACGAATTAGGGTGTATTTTTTAATTCTTTTAATGAATTTAGGGTATTCAATCAGGATTTTAATTGATTCTCTGAAATTCAAGATGTATTCAATTAGAATTTTAAGATAATTTATTAAAATTTTTAGAAATTCGGGTATATTCAATTAGTATTTTAAAGAAATTTATAACATTTCAATTGTATTCAATTAGAAGTTGATTTTAAAAAATTTGATAAAGTTGAGGAAGTAAAGAGAATTAGAAATATTTCATAGTTTATTTTAAGCATCCACAAATCGAAGGAATTAAATCAAAATTTTATATGAAATATCTACAAATCAATTAAACTCTAAAAACTCATGGATTTATAAGTCTCTCAATTGAATACCCCCCTAAACTTGCTAAAATTTGTTAGCTGTTAGTAGTTACCCGGCCGAGAGGTGATTGGAAAACTTGAATAATTTTGTGTTGTTTGTTTCAGTTGGTTGGAGCCGGGAGGTGATTGGAAAACTTGAATGATTTTGTGTTGTTTGTTTCTGGTGGTGGTGCTATGGGCGGATTTCGTCGCTCGGAACGGTTAGCACAGCATTAAGGAGCTGATGCTGCTCGAGGCATCTCATATACGGCCGGCGACGTCAACGAGTACAGGAGGAAGCGGAGGAAAATAACTGCTAAAGGCCCGTCTGAAAAGCAGGACCTCCGGTCTGAAACGCAGGACCTCAAGAGGGAAATTACTACTGATGGCACCGCTGACGCCGTAGGCAAAGTCGAGGAGCATAATGCTCTCGGCAGCACGTCTGAAACGCAGGACCTCAATACTGATGTCACCTCTTATACGCCCCAAGGCAGCATGCCTGAAACGCAGCACTCAAATACTGACGATACCTCTTATACGGTCGAGGAGTATAGGCAACGGAGGGGAATCACTGTTGAAGGCTGTGGTGATATTCCGAACCCCATCAGGACTTTCGATGACACTCGGTTTCCAGGTACCTACTTTCTAGTTTCTTTCTTGTTTTAAACAAGTTAACTTGTTATGTAATAAAATATAACAAATATATATACATATATATATATATATGTATATATATTTCCACTTGAATGTATACCTATATCTATTGAATTGATAATTTCCCTTGACCATCACAGAAAATGTTATGCAACAATTTTCAAAAGCTGGATTTGCTAGGCCTACACCAATTCAAGCTCAAGTATGGCCAATGGCTTTGGAGGGCCGTGACCTCATTGGTATTGCTCAACCAGGATCCGGGAAGAAGCTGGCGTATGTAATGCCTGCAATTGTCCATATAAACTCCCAGCCAAAACTATGTGAGTTTATATATGTTAGTTATCCTTAAGATAATCAAATCCTAGCTCTTTTAATCATATATATTTGTGTTATATTGATCATAGGCAATAAGTTTTTTCCATTTTATAACTTTCCTTCAGCTTGTGATGGAGATGGCCTAAGAGTATTGATTTTAGCTCCAACGGAGCGACTCGGTGAAGAAATCCAACAAGAGTATGCTAAATTTTGTGCAGCTTCCAACATTAAAGTCTTATTAAGCTGGAAACTGTCTTCTCCTAAAAAAAGTAGTAAGTGGTGGTGGCAAACTACATTTTACTGTCTATTGTTATTATTGTGCTACTGCGATGGAATATCATGTATCAGATAGTATCTACTTGATATTCTGTTATAGGCCTTGTTTATGGTAACATGTAATTTTTTGTAGGTGGTGATTTTAAAGGAGACTTCTTGTTTGAGTATATGTATATTTATTCTTCTTTTTTATTTTAATTAATATTTTGGCTCAGGAGGTGGGATTCTAATCGCCACACCTAGGACCTTGCATTTTGCGTTAGAGGATGGTTATACTAACGTCAGAAGGGTCACATATCTTGTGTTGGATGGCGCTGATTGGATGCTAGAAAAACAAAACATGGGGTTTGGGTCTCAAATACAAGATATTGTTTCTAAGGTTCGAGATATTGCCCTTACTTTATTCTTCAAACCCGCGTTGCTATTCTCACACACACACATCAACCAAGCCTTATCCCAGTAAGTGGGGTCGGCTCACACACGTGCGTGTGTGTTTATATATCAAAGTTTATGTTCAGTTGAAAATTGTCATTGTCAATTATCTATGAGTTTGTTGAATTCAGATTCACCCAGACCGTCAAATATTATTGTTGGGAACTAGCTGGTCAAGGGAGGTTGATAAACAGGCAAACCGGTTCCTTTACAATGCATGCAATGTAATACATCTTACTATTTTTTGCATCGCTTAGCTGTTTTTAATTATTTTTTCTGGATGAAATTGGTAGTCACAAAATGTCCTTTTAGTTCTATCTTGTGATTGCAATAGCACTCTTGGCGTAATTTTTTAATGTGCAATACCCAATAATTGTTTGACATTAATCTTTGGATGTTGAACAGGTTGCAATTGTTTCTCCACCTCTGAAAGCTACATATCCGATCGACCAAACTGTTTACGTCGTTACTGAAGATCAGAAATATAACAAGTAGGGGACATTCTAATGGTTGATCTTGGGCTGTCTGTTTGCGGTTATATATGTTTTGTGATTTATTTCAAACGTTTCAGATTGGTAGAGCTGCTAGGTCTTAAAGTGGATGGCAGCAGAATACTGATATTCATGGATATAAAGGAAGGATGCGAAAAACGTGATCAGTTTGCCCTGCAGCTTTATAGGGACGGTCAGCATGCAGTCTCGCTTCATGAAAACAAAGGTCAAGCGGAAATGGCCCGGATTATCTCTGAGTTTCAAGCTGGCAGGATCCCCATAATGATTGCAACAGATGTTGCTGCTCGTGATCTAGGTATCTTTTTTTTTTTTTTTTTTTTTTTTTTTCAGTTTGTGAAAGACTTGAAAGGAACTCTTTATTGCTTGCGCTTCACAGTTGAAGGCTTTGTTTATTGTACTAGTCGACATCCCCTTTTTCAAAACCATGTCCTGTTAGTAACCTAGGGTTTTGTTGGGCTGGGTGCAGGTGTAGCAAGCTTTTGTTGAATGCATTTAGCCTGTGAATTGGTCGGAAGCCTTGTTTCTAATCATTTTGTTTCATGCTTAATTTGCAGATCTGAAGGATGTGAAAAATATTATCAATTACGACTTTCCAGGATCCCTTGATGATTATGTTTACCGCATTGACCGTGCTGGAAGTGCTGCAGCAAAAGGAACAGTATTCACGTTCTTTACAACTGCTAATGCTGTATTCGCAGAGGAACTTATTGTCTTACTCAAGGAAGCTGGACAGAAGGTTAGTTCTGAATTGGAACAACTGGGCCGTGATGTACTATATCCAGGTCAGTAACTACAAACGCTAGAGTAAATATTGTTGTACACACATTGTCATATGCACACGCAAAACATAGACAGTTCAGGTCGTTCGAAGGGAATGCTGGGTGTCTATTTTAATGAAAGAGCACCTTGTAGTGTCCTACCTTCTCCCTGTATACTAGATGCTTTCACGTGATTTTTGGGGGTATTATATAAATTTTTGAGATTTGATCTGATCATTTCTCTTGCCGCCATAAGCCTAAAACTTGTTTAGCTGACGTACTCCAAGTATTGACGATGGTTTTTTTGGTGGCTTATTATTTGGGTATGATGCATACATATGGTTAATCTTTGACTTCCGATTATTTATTTATTTGGGTATGATTGACGACGAAACAGATTATCAAGATAAACTACTATTGGAATTCATTCCTTTTTTGGAGTTATGATATGGATGTGAACTGATGTCTTCCAGGAACCTACATACCTGCACCGTGGCGCTGGGCGGTTAACCAGGAGGAGGTATATGTGAATATAAGACCATTACGTAACTTTGCATTTGCATATAAAACCATTAGATAATGGCATGCACCATCTGTTTATTACCCTTTTTTTGTCTGCAATTAGAACTCAAAATTCAACCTCAGCGCTTCAACTGTTGTTCTAATTAATACACATAGTTGACTACACATTTGCATTTGCATTTGCATATGGTACCATAAAATAACTGTTGGAAAATCAAATCAAAACAGGTTGTTAATGGTTAAAGCAAGCTGTTAGTTTCTTTCCAGGTTGTTTCCAGCAACTACAAAGATCATTGCTCCCTCCATCTGTTAGCCGAAAGCTGATTACAAGACAGCAGTGTGCTGCCATGTGATGTATTAGCCGAAAGAGTGTTGATTGCAAGCTGGAAAGATAGCTGCATATGAGTGCTAGACTGTCCAAAGTTCCTGCATGTGTTTTAAAGGGTGTAAAGATGTTAAACACCCCATTCATTGCATGTGTTGTTGCATTGTTTATTAATTTCTGTTTTGTATAAATAGGCCATCTTGCTAAGCTTTAGATCATCCCATCCGAATCCCATTTCCCATTCATTTAATTTCAGCTTGTAAGCTATTGAGTTTGTAAACTCTTTTTTCATATATCTAAGTGCAAGTGTTTTACCAAAACTTGTTGCTTCCCTCCTTTCTCTATTTCTCTATTTCTCTATTTCTTTCCTTGTCCAATCTTATTGAGAGTGAAAGTGAGAGGTGTGATAGAGTTTGTAAACTTATCACCCACATCTATTTTGGTATTGAGTTAGCAAACTCTTGTGAATACCAACAATTGGTATCAGAGCCAGAATACCATTCTGGCAGGTGCAACAGTTATGACATCCAACTTAGTGCAGCTCCAAGTTCCCACATTGAAGAAAGAAAATTATGAAAGATGGTGCATCCAATTCAAAGCATTGTTTGGATCACAAAAGCTATGGGAAGTTGTCAATAATGGGTATGTTGTACCTACTACCGAGCAAGAAGCCACATATACTGCAGATCAAAGGAACACTCTCAAGGATTTACGAAAAAAAAGACCAGAAGGCGTTGTATCTTCTTTATCAAGGATTAAAAGATTCAATGTTCGAGAAGGTTGCAGAAGCAACAACGAGCAAGCAAGTATGGGACACACTCAGTACAATCTACAAAGGAGTAGATCGGGTCAAGAAAGTGAGATTACAGTCACTTCGAGCAGATTTTGAAACTGCTCACATGAATGAAGGAGAAAGCATCTCCGACTATCACTAAGGCTCATTGTGATAGTAAATCAGATGAGGAGAAATGGCGAGAGACTCGATGAAGTACGAGTTGTGGAGAAGATACTCCGGTCACTTACATCTAAGTTTGAGCATGTGGTGACTGCCATTGAGGAATCCAAGGATTTGGAGGCGATGAGCGCAGAGGAGCTACTAGGATCCCTCATAGTTCACGAGCAACGCATTCAGAAGAATGCAAGCCCCACAACGCTAGAGCAAGCTTTGGAGTCAAAGTTGAATATTGACAAACCAAATAAAGGTCGTGGGCAGTGGAACTCACGTCGTGGGAGTTCATCCAACCGTAGCCGAGGACGAGCCCGAGGAAGAAGTCGAGGCTATGCACAAAATCTAGGTCAGTCTCAGGAGTGGAGATCTACTCGAGGAAAGGCGCATATCCAGTGTCATAGTTGCAAGCAATATGGACATTATGCAAATGAATGTTCATATAAAAATGGTGAGCATGTCAACATGGCAGAATCAAGTGGAAATGCTGGTGAAGAACTTACGGTCTTACTAGCATACCATGATATCAGTAGCCAACAAGATGTCTGGTATTTAGACTCTGGTGCAAGCAACCACATGTGTGGAAAGAAAGAGTTTTTTGCCGAACTCAAAGATGGGCCTTATGGATCTGTGAGTCTTGGTGACTCCTCAAAGTTGCCAGTTGAAGGCAAAGGAAAGATCAAAATCATCCAGAAGGATGGTAAAGAAGAATACATCTCCGATACCTACTACATACCAGGTATGAAGAGCAACATTTTGAGCATTGGTCAACTGCTCCAGAAAAGGTATGTTATACATATGGAGGATATGTTTCTCACTCTCAGGAATGCAAGAAGAAAGCTTATTGCACGTGTTCAAATGTCAAAAAATCGAATGTTCCCGTTGAAGTTGAACACAAAGATTGGGAGTTGCAACATCAGTGTAATGGAAGATGGGTCATGGAAATGGCATCTTCGGTATGGCCATCTTCATTTCAATGGCCTAAAGTTGCTGTCAAATGAAGGAATGGTTCGTGGTCTACCCCAGATTGAAGCCACACACCAAGTATGTGAAGGTTGTGTGCTTGGCAAGCAAGCACGACTATCATTCCCTGTTGGTGATACATGGAGAGCAAAGGCAACACTGCAGTTGGTGCACACAGATATATGTGGTCTATTGGATCCCATGTCTTATGGAGGTAATAGGTATTTTATTACTTTCATTGATGATTTTAGTAGGAAGACTTGGGTTTACTTTCTCAAGGAGAAGTCGGCTGCCCTAAGAATCTTCAAGGAGTTCAAGGCACTCACAGAGGCTGAAAGCAACCACAAGCTTATGGCTGTGAGATCAGATAGAGGTGGAGAGTACACCTCCAATGTTTTCCAAGCATACTGCAAGGAGCAAGGAATTAGGCATCAACTTACTGCTGCCTATACCCCACAGCAAAATGGGATAGCCGAAAGAAAGAATCGAACCATCCTTGACATGACAAGGTCCATGCTTAAGGAGAAGAATTTGCCAAAAGAGTTATGGGCAGAAGCTGTAGCTTGTTCGATTTATTTGTTGAATCGATGTCCAACAAAGAGTGTCAAGAGGATGACACCACAAGAGGCTTGGAGTGGATACAAGCCGAATGTTACACACCTAAGAATTTTTGGGTGTGTTGCATATGCTCAAGTTCCAGAAGCCAAGAGAAGGAAACTTGATGATAGAGGTGAGAAGTGTGTGTTTGTGGGCTATAGTGAAGAGTCCAAGGCGTACAAGCTCTACAACCCACTAACTGGCAAACTAGTGGTTAGTAGAGATGTCATCTTCAGTGAGGAAGAGGCATGGGTGTGGAACAACAAAGAAGTCAGTAAAGAGAAGATCGTCTCCACTGATTTTGAAGAACCAGAAGTTGTACCACCTGTTGAGCAACAACCTGCTCAAACAATCACAACAACTCCAGTGCACAGAATTGCAAGGAGTGGTCCTACATCTAGTGAGGAAAGTAGCTCCTCAACTCCAGTGAGGTTAAGGAGTCTCACAGAGATTTATGGACAAGAAGAAGAAGAAACCAATTTTTTCTGCTTCTATGCAGACCATGAGCCTCTCTCATTCAATGAAGCTGTGGAAGAAAATTGTTGGAAAAAAGCCATGGAAGAAGAGATCCATGCCATCGAGAAGAATGACACTTGGGAGTTGACAAAGCTCCCACCAAATCAGAAGGTTATTGGTGTCAAGTGGGTTTACAAGATCAAACGCACTGCAGATGGGAGTGTGGATTGATACAAATCAAGGCTTGTAGCAAAGGGCTACAAACAGAAGTATGGAGTGGACTATGATGAAGTCTATGCTCCAGTTGCAAGACTTGACACGATAAGATTACTAATCTCTCTTGCCGTTCAGCATAAATGGAAAATTTATCAATTAGATGTCAAGTCAGCCTTCCTTAATGGAGTTCTTGAGGAAGAAGTGTACGTGGAACAACCAGAAGGCTTCCAAGTACAGGGAAAAGAAGATAAGGTGTATCGTTTGAAAAAGGCTTTGTATGGCATCAAGCAAGCACCACGAGCTTGGAACTCAAGGATTGACAACTACCTTCACCAAAATGGATTTCAGAAATGTCCATACGAGCATTCAGTTTACATGAAGAATGGTGCAAAAAGGGGAGTTCTTAATTATTTGTCTCTATGTAGATGACTTGTTGTTTATAGGAAACAATGAAGCAATGTTCTGTGAGTTCAAGCAATCCATGTTCAGTGAATTCAAGATGACTGACAATGGATTAATGTCATACTTTCTTGGCATAGAAGTGAAGCAAGGAAGTGATGGTATCTACATTTCTCAACAAAAGTACATGAGAGATATATTGGAGAAATTCAATATGGACAAGTGCAATATTGTCAACACTCCAGTTGCAACTGGATTGAAGCTGTCTAAGGAAGGAGAAGGTGAGTTTGTAAACTCAACCGTATACAAAAGCTTGGTTGGAAGCCTAAGGTACCTTACAATCACAAGACCTGATATAGTTTATGGTGTTGGACTCGTAAGTCGATACATGGAAACACCAAAGGAGTCTCATTGGCTGGCCGCTAAGAGAATTTTGAGGTACATAAGAGGTACTCTAAACTATGGTCTGTTTTATAATTTTGGTGAAGATGCAAAATTATTTGGTTATTCAGATAGTGATTGGGGAGGTGACCAAGATGAAAGGAAAAACACAACTGGATATGTGTTTTTTCTAGGATCAACAGCTTTCTCATGGACTTCAAAGAAGCAATCAATTGTTGCTTTGTCATCATGTGAAGCCGAGTATGTTGTTGTAGCCTCAACCGTGTGTGAGGCAATTTGGTTAAGAAATCTGTTGAAGTCAGTGTGTCATCCACAAATGGAATCGACTGTGATTCATGTGGATAACATCTCAGCTATCAAGCTTGCTAGGAATCCAGTCCAACATGGAAGGAGCAAGCACATTGATACCAGGTTCCATTTTCTAAGGGACCATGTGAAGCAAAAGACAATTGAGCTTGTCTATTGTCACACGAAGGAACAAGTGGCAGACATCTTCACTAAGCCATTGCCAGTTGAGCCATTCAAGTTGCTACGTGAAATGCTAGGCATAAAGGCGTTTTAATTTGAGGAGGTGTGTTGGAAAATCAAATCAAAACAGGTTGTTAATGGTTAAAGCAAGTTGTTAGTTTCTTTCCAGGTTGTTTCCAGCAACTACAAAGATCATTGCTCCCTCAATCTGTTAGCCGAAAGCTAATTACAAGACAGCAGTGTGCTGCCATGTGATGTATTAGCCGAAAGAGTGTTGATTGCAAGCTGGAAAGATAGCTGCATATGAGTGCTAGACTGTCCAAAGTTCCTGCATGTGTTTTAAAGGGTGTAAAGATGTTAAACACCCCATTCATTGCATGTGTTGTTGCATTGTTTATTAATTTCTGTTTTGTATAAATAGGCCATCTTGCTAAGCTTTAGATCATCCCATCCGAATCCCATTTCCCATTCATTTAATTTCAGCTTGTAAGCTATTGAGTTTGTAAACTCTTTTTTCATATATCTAAGTGCAAGTGTTTTACCAAAGCTTGTTGCTTCCCTCCTTTCTCTATTTCTCTATTTCTCTATTTCTCTATTTCTTTCCTTGTCCAATCTTATTGAGAGTGAAAGTGAGAGGTGTGATAGAGTTTGTAAACTTATCACCCACATCTATTTTGGTATTGAGTTAGCAAACTCTTGTGAATACCAACAATAACGTCTGTATGTTGCTAACTTTGTTGCGCTTGCATTTCTTTAAACAGATTGGAGCTGGTCATTTCTTTCGGTTGTATCTGCATTGTTCTATGACTAAGGATATTGCCTGTAACGTCGTGCAAGAAATCAGCCGAAAAAGGTTAAAACCGATGTGAATTTGTAAAAGCTGCTGCTCTACTTCTTACATTAGCATGTTCTGTTTTACGAGTAATCTTTAATAGTGCACTTGTTTAAATATAATGATCTGCATGGCTTCTTTTTTGGGGCCTCCAACTGCATTTTTTGAGCGTGGTGGAGGCATACCAACACTTGTCCTGCCTTCCTGTTAGTTACTTTTATCTAACTTTGGAGGCTGCTTGTGCCACGACTTATGAAAAGAAGCTTTACCGAGCAATATTTGTTAGGATGATTGGTGACAGAAAGGAAACCATATTCTTTGGTGATGTCAACTCCGATGGCTTGTTGGAAAGAATACATGACACCAGAAAGCGAATCAAATATAGAGGTAAGTATCTGTCTGAAGCCCTTAAAAACGCACATGGCCGACCGTCTCTCACTAGACAATTTTTAAAAATTGATTAGGGACATGAGTTTTTATGTGTAGGAGTTGGGAGTTAGGTAATATATTGTCACTGAAGTTTAAAATACAGTGATAGTTGATGTTGTTAATTATCTTGCATTTCATTTGTCAGTCTATAAAATCTGGCAACAAGCCGATGGAGACTATGAAGAGAATGGAGGCGATGGAGACAATGAAGAGGATGAAGACTATGAAGGCGATGAATGATGGGGCACTAGTCTCACTGACAATTAATTACCACTCGATCGGGCTAGGAAAATTTCCAAAAGAATAGTATGATCAATGAACAAATATTTGTACACATGCTTTTAGCTATCAGATTACAAAAACAAACTGCCGCTGGTCAAGCCGCCCAATGACTCAAATGCCATGTTGTAAGTTGCTTGCCATGTAGGTTTACACTGTAACATAACGGACACGATATCGACAGTTATTCAACTGTCGTATTAATAATATCAATGATTCCCGAGTTGTACGAAGAAATTCACCAAGTCGGAATATCCTGTACCGGAATGTCTGGTATCTGATCTATATATCATGTATTTCTTTCATCTCCTTCTCCTTCTTTTTCCCCAAAGGTTTTGCTGAGTACACACGGACATCCACACATACACACGGACATCCACACATACTTGGTCTATCACATTCACATGGGAAGCTGGAGGCTCGCGTGCTCGAGGAAAAACACCAAAAGGGGCTCTGACTCGACCAAACGACCATTTCAACGATGATCAGGTTCATTTGGATAAGTAGAGACTTGAATCTTTCTCTCCAACAACTGTAAGATAAATAATCATTTAATCGCTTTTCAATTGGAACCAAAAATTAATATTAATTAACCATAAATCTCACAACCATATAAACACAGGAGCTAATATACGAGTACATAACCAATTTCTTGTTCGAGGGACTAGACTCCGGAGCTCAGATCTCATCAGGAGGTAGTATTGTGGGATAATAGACCCGCCGGATTAACCTTTTCTCCGAGAGGCCAAACCCTCCCTGACCCCATTTATCCCCCAGTTAGTGTTTGACTTTCCTGTCTTCATTTGACTCCTCACCCTCCCCAATGTCTTCCTCAGTGGCTTCATCGAGGTCTCCACTGCTTTCACTTTATTTGCCTCCAATGCTTTCTCCGGCTTCTCACCATCACTATATCCCCATCCTACTAATACAATTGCATGCTATTCCAAGTTCCCACATTGGCGGCGATTCATTTCATAGGTATAAATTCCCTATAAAAAAGATACTAGTCCATATTTACTCAACAAAAATCAACAATTTACCACTTACATCTTTGTAATCATACACAGCGTCACTCAAGAAGCATTGCAAATATGGGGAAACTGTCTAAGGATAAATTCATTGGTGGTCGTATGGTTGCCAATACTTTTGTAATCGGCAATCCTATACTTGTAAGGCTTTTCCTACATAATAATACTAACCTCTCCGCACGCGCTCACGCACATGCAGGAGGCCTTTTTTTAAAGGAGTAGGATTCTCTTCCCCTCTTATTCTCATCCCCTTCACTCCCCTCCTCTCACATATTGCTTTTTGTCTCTATAAAAAAAAAAATATATATATATATAAAATGTTGACGTGGCTAAACTGTAACTGTTTAAATAGGAGGGGAGAGAAGCTCCTCCTTTTAATCATAGAAGCTATGCACCCTTAAAGATGGTTGTTTATTATTCTTATCCATTTGGTTTAGACATTAATAGTGTTGCTATTGTTTTAAGCTATCAACTTGGTTTAGACATTAATAGTGTTGCTATTGTTTTAAGCTATCAACAAACAAACTAAACATGGGTTGTTAATTAGTAGTTCTTCAAGTTGAATGAAATGTGCATTCTATTGAGAAAAAACCACCTCCCAAATTACTAGGTTTGGAAAAATAAATACCAAAACAAAGTTACTCAAAAGAGAGTATAATAACATGGTAATTGCAAAATACATTTCCAACAATGTATATGAAAATTTGAATACATTAAAAAAATATAAAAATCAGATAAAATACCAGGCTTCTACAAAAATGGAGGAGTTACTTCACAGCATCACAGATTAACCTTTGCTCCATAAGGCCAAATCCTCCCCTACCCCATTTATCCCCCCAGCTGCACATCACTATGTAGTAGTGTTTGACTTTCCTGTCTTCATTTGACTCCTCACCCTTTCCACTGCATTCCTCAGCGCTTTCATCGGCGTCTTCGTAGCTTTCCTCGAGGCCTCCGCTGCTTTCACTAAATTTGTCTCCAATGCTTTCTCCGACTTCTCCACCTTCACTATATCCCCATCCTACTAATACCATTGCATGCAATTCCAAGTTCCCACCTTGGCGATTCATTTCATAGGTATAAATTCCCTATAAAAAATACACTAGTCAATATTTACTCAACAAACACAACTTACACAACAATTTACTACTTACATCTTTGTAATCATACACAGCATCACTCAAGGAAGCATCGCAAATAAGGGGAAACTACCTGAGCATAAATTCAATGGTGGCTGTATGATTGCCAATACTTAGAGGCTAGTATTATTATATAGAACAAGCTTTACATGTATAGAATTGCCGATTACAAAAGTATTGGCAACAATACGGCCACCATTGAATTTATGCCCAAACAATTTCCCCTTATTTGCGATGCTTCCTTGAATGACGCTGTGTATGATTACGAAGATGTAAGTAGTAAATTGTTGTGTAAGTTGTGTTTGTTGAGTAAATATTGACTAGTGTCTCTTTTACAAGGAATTTATACCTATGAAATGAATCGTCAATGTGGGAACTTAGAATTGCATGCAATGGTATTAGTAGGATGGGAATATAGTGATGGTGGAGAAGCCAGAGAAAGCATTGGAGGCAAATCTAGTGAAACTCGAGGAAAGCTATGAAGACGAAGAAGAACGCGCTGAGGAAGGCAGTAGAAAGGGTGAGGAGTCAAATGAAGACTGAAAAGTCAAACACTACTACATAGTGATGTGCAACTGGGGGGATAAATGGGGTCGAGGAGGATTTGGCCTTATGGAGGAGTTACTGAACATCTTCCGCCACAGGTTTCTCTTTCTCCTAAAATGAAGGAGTCACTTCAGCACATCTCTTTTCTATCTGTTTTTCTATTTCTCTTTTTTCCAGGGTATGGGAGGTTGAGTTGGTTTCCCCAAAACAGTACGGTTTCGATCGTGCAACTTTGCAACCGCTATAACTGCTTGTGGAAAGTTCACTCTGTATAGAGATGAGTAATCAACGGGTTAGAATCAATCTAAAAGTCTAGGCGCCTTTCATGTTTTTGTATTACAATTTTAACCCTATTTTATTTGTGTATTACAATTATAGTCCTATATAGCAATGGTTTTGCGTTGGTTTTTTTTTTGTTTTTTTTGAAATGAGGACATAATTGAAATATTGAAAGCTTCACCTATTTGGGTTTCTCCCTTTATATATAGAGATATATATTAACATATTTTGATCCATAATAATGTATGTATTAACATATATACATATATATATATATATATATATATATAATAAGACTAACCTGTGGGATTTTTGGTGCCTTTTGTCCGGTTTTCCAATACTTCTTTCAAGGAATTCCAAATCTCGACACATACTTTAGCACGTCCAGTACAAAAATATCACAGTCCGGAGCCATTAGGTCCATTAATGCAAGAACTGAAATTTTGTCTTCTTCATTGACTAGTATCCGAGCTTTTAAAGCTCTTTCATTGTGTAATGCGCCAAAACACAATTACAAAGGGAGGCCGACACACAAACCGCTGATGAAATAAACAAAAACGATTAAAATCATTTGCAAACAAATGAAATTTAAGTGACATCACAACATACTGCATATCTACTAACAAAGCCAAACAAAATAACAAAATGTTATTTTCCATTTATTTAATTTCCATGTCATAATTTAAATGCATGTATAAGAGGCGTAAGGTAGCTTAGGATGCTCAATAAGAAAAAAAAATTATGATGGATGTTCATGATGGGCAAGTTATGTAAAATCTAAAATTCGTAAAAAAATTTATGCCAGGCAAGTGATGTAAATAGTAAAAATTGTATGCAATGGTATCAACTTTATGTTCATGCTAGGCAAGTTATGTAAAATCTAAAATCTAAAAATTGTGATGTGAACAGTAAAAATTGTTATGCAAGTTATAATTGTTTGTTGAGTATTAAAAATATTAACTAACGTCTACCAAAAAATGAATTGTGAAGATGAGAACTTTGAATTCCATGCAATGGTAATGGTGGGGATGGGGTATACTGATGATGAAGAATCCGGGAAAAAGCCTTGAAGACCCTGGGGCATCCGGGAAAGCATTGGAAACCTAAAGCAAGTCGCTGTGGAAGGCAGTGTAGAGCGTGAGGAGTCAGATGAAAACAACAAAGGCTACACAGTGTTGTTCAATTGGGGAGATAAATGGGGTCGGGGAGGATTTGGCCTTTTGGAGAAAAAATTAATTCGTCTGTGTATTGATTTGCTACTCAACGAGCTCAGAGGAGTCAGTTGAAAACAACAAATGTTACTACATAGTGATGTCCAATTGGGGAGATAAATGGGGTTTGGCCTTATGAAAAAATTAATTCGTCAGGTGTATTATACCATAATACTACCTCCGAATGATTTGCCGCCTAACGAGCTCAGAGCGCTGGAGTCTTGTCTCCCGAACAAGAAAGTGTTTATGTACCATATAATACCTCTTGTGTTTATTTGGTTCTCAGACTTCTCGTTAATTAATGTTAATTTTGGATTCAATTGAAAAGCGATTAAATGATTATTTAACCTATAGTTTTTTTTTTTTAATACAGCGATATTTTTACACTAAAAGGATGGGAAATTCGGCTAAACTCCATAATGGACATCCTAATTTGGTATCAATTTATCCAAATGAACTTCCACGGCCTTTGAAGATCCTACAAGATATCTTAATGGTCGTTTGGTAGAGTCAGTCAGTGCCCTTTTGGTGTTTTAGCTTGAGCACAGTTACAAAGATAGGCAGACACAAACGGCTGACGAAATAGAAGTGAGCATATACTTTATTGATATCGCAATCTGGAGCCATTCGTCTCATTGATGATTGCACATAACAAAGGAACTGATGCCAATGAGACAAAACTAAAACATGTATACTAAAAAGTAAATAAAGAAATATTAAATCGGTTCATTTACTTATCACTGAATCAATCCTTTCCTACCCCTTCCATTCCAAAAATCCTTTCAGTAGAAAACTTGTGCCTGTTGTGTTAAAACAACATAAATAAAAAGTCATACAAAACACAAAAGGCAGGAGAAAAGTAACAAAATAAAAATAGATCTACATGTCTAGATCAAATCAAGGGAGAGACAACCGAGAAGGATTACCGGAAGTGGAGAAAGAGAGATGTCATTTTGCTGAAGGAGAAGAAGGAGGTGGTCGGGAAAGACTTTGTTGACGAATGTTTTCAGTATGGTGAACGAAAGATTTTGTGCGGGTTAAAGTCAGAGAGACTAGGGGTTGCTAAAATTGCATTCCTAAACAATACTGGAGAAAAGCTCCGGTCCAAGGGCCCTTTGCTGCCTTGGCAGCACCCTTTCTTTATAGACTACCAACCTTCCGAAGGAAGGTTTAAGGTGTGGTTGTGGACAACCCCAGTAAAGAAAGACGTGGCATAATCTGATCCATGCAAAGAAGATAATCGTGCTTACAATGTCACTGTGTGCCTTGCCGTACTCACCTTACCACAAGTACATGTACTTGTGTAGGTTTGGCATAAATGTGAGGAGTAAATATGTATAGGTTTGGTATATCAATGCTCAATCAATATTACTCAAGTCCAACCAAATAAAGTGACATGCCTCAATCTCGATGTACTCGGGACATTAGGATGATTACGTGTTAGCTGACATCCAAGGATGACCTAAGGTCACATGTTAACCGACACCCAAGGATAACCCAAGCCATTTAGAAATGCATGAAAACAAAGAATAAATAAGACTTATGAATTTAATGGTAATTAATATGCATTTAAGAAACGTGTTCAAAGCATACAACTAACTAGAACACTAAACAAAAAAAAAAAAGAATATAAAATTGAATGAACAAAGGGATGGATCCTACACCGAAAGAACTTGAAGATGTTGATGCAGAAGTGTCTTGACGCCAGAATTGTACGCCTTGATTTTAAGTCTTGAAGGGGGTGCAAAACAAATATGAGTAGACCAAGTTGATATACATAGATATATAATAAAACAGTTATCGACATACTAACCCCCAAAGTTTTATGAAATCTCAATAGCATAATATATAATAGGTTTTTCCGAAAACCCTAGCATACCATAAAACATTACAACACGTATCTCGTATATATTGTGCTAACTACTAGTATTAGTATCAGTATCTATTATGCACAAAACAGTAGCCTACACACACCCGCCCAAAGGCAATATAAGTATCATCTTCCACATGCATAGAATAGTGCCCTACACATGCCCCCTCCGAAGGTAATATATATAGTGACCACTATATACCCACAAAACCATTGAACATAGTATTTCCAAAACATAGGTACATATATCTCAAATGCATCTTCATAGCATAAAGTCATCCATCATCTATACTATAAAGAAGTGTTATAAAAACATGTTCTAAATAGTGTATCGTCATCCATCAGATACCCTACAAGAACATGATTTTGATAGAAAATATGGTATTTTAAAGTAAGCTCAGTATAGCATGATAATCACTTTCTCATAAAACATAATCATTAAATCATGTTTTTCATGTATGTATTTCTATTATAAAACATGCATTTTAGAACAGGTCCACTCAGTGTACACTGTTGCTGCAAAACCTTACTAAATAAGAAATAACAGAATCGTCGTCATTAATTGCACCTAAGCACATAAAGAATACAATTAACAAAACTATACTCAAACGAATGAATTTAAGGAATCGGACGTCATAAACGGGGTTAGGATGTCGAAATTAGCCTAGAAGGGATCCCGAACGAAACCCTAAAAAAAAGGTCAACAAAAGTCAACGTTGACCAATGATCGGTCAAACTGGGTCAAAGGATTTGGGTTGGACCAGATTAGGCCTATAGGGTTTTAGGGTTTCTAAATGGGCTGGGCATTGAAGCCTGGCCCAAATGTTTTGGGTTTCAAAACAATAAAATAAAAACAAAATTTAAATAAATAAAAAGGGTTTTGGGCTTTGGGTTTTAAGGATTTGGGCTTGAAAGCCCGGTTTGAAAACTGGGTTGGGTCTTAAAGTTTGAGCTTGGGTTAATGGGTCGAGTTGATTCATTTTCAGACCAAGGTTTTGTCCAGTTTTTAGGCAAAGTTCAAACGTTCATAACTTATTTGTTACTCAACCAAATCGAGTAATTCAAAAATTAAAGTTCTAATAGTCGACGAGAGAGGAAGATAATGGTACCTTGCATCACGGCTAACTCGTCGTGGTTGGCCGGAAAATGCCTCGAAAAGGGCGGTGCTCGCGAGGAAATTTTGGAAAAGCTACTCCAAGCTATTTTTTGCGATTCAAGCGTATACACAACTTAAAACAAGCTTCGATCTAACCCTAAAACACATCCCAAGGATTTTAGAAGCTTACCAACGTTGGAAAATCACGAAACTCGTTGGGGAAGACGATGAACAGTACCGGCCGAAATAGAGAGAAGGGTTTAGGGTGTTCTTCCTATGTTTTTTAGAACACAAGGGTGATGGTGATGGTGTCTTCTTGTTGTTTTGTGGTTTGATGGTGAGGGAGATGAGGGTTTGTAGAGAGGAAGGACACGGATGTGAGGGGAAGAGAGAGTGAGAGAGAAAAGAATGATCTGAGAAGGTCTCGGGGAAAGAGAGAGAGAGATAGGGGAAAGTTGGGGGGTGCTGCCACGTGGCAGCGTGTGAGTGAAGAGGGAATCTCCCATTGAGATCCGGATTGGGTGAGGTTTAGTCGTTAGAGGACCAAAGTGCACATTTTTATAAAAACTTTAGGAGAACAATTAAAATTACCAGGACATTTGGGGGTGGGGTTTCACACAAAGGCTGCTACAATCTTCTTCGCCGGATGACATGTTTCACTTTCTTTACTTAGTTAAACCGCGTTCCACGTGGGAAAGTTACATGTAGCGGTAGGTACCCTAATTGATTCTTAGCAAAATTTGCTATGAAGTTCTTGGAATTTTTTATTTTTCTGTTTGTACCTTCTACATATGATGCAAATGACTTGGTTAAGAGGTTGAATTTTTCTAACTACGCCAATATTCGAGCATTGTATTGTGCGTTTTAACTCACGACTGTTAATAGATGTGAATATCCTAAGTTTATGATTGATGTAATTCTTAGTTGCTCACGTGTGTGCATATAAAAATTCTTCAATATGACTACACAAACATATGAGTGTTTCAAATGAATTTGAATTTACCATGACATTATACAATGTGCTTAAACTTTTACAATCATGGGTCAATATGAATATTATTAAAATAACTAATGAAGCTCATAGCTATCAAATAAAGTATTTGACGTATGTACTCAATTGGAATATTTAATTAAGGTATTTTCAATTGATCCTCAATTAACGAATATAGTATACATGGCAAAACAGTTTGTTCTACAATTGTTTTTCAATGATAGATATATTTTTTTTTCACTATTCGTTTTCCCATTCTTGATGTGGGTTTTTTAAAGTTCTTTTAGATTATGTTTGAGTGAGGGGGATTTTCAAACTTCAAGGGATAGATGAAATGTTAGTGAGAAATAGAGTTGTTTATGTTACGAAG